CCGCCCGCCACCTCCTTCTTGCCGACCATTTCGGAGAATCCGATTATTTTCCCATCTACGGTTTGCCTCACTCCGCCGATGATACGGCCGTCTGCCGCATTTCTTCCCTCCGCCCGCCGAAGTCGGGATCGGCCGCACGATTTCCGCGAGGATGCATTCGATATTCATAATTTGTTTCGCGAGCCTAATCTCCTTGCCTAAGCTCCCTCGTTTCGCGCGTTCGTCGGCTAAGCGTGTATGCGAAGTCGCTGAAGCCCGGCCAAGTATACTTCGGCATCGATCACGAACGTTTATTTATTTATTTTATCATTGTCAAGAAATTCGATCAAAAGAGTTTTCACCTGAACGCACGGTACTACTGTCTGATGAGTTCTCCTCAAATTCGCGAATATACACTTGTCTTTGCTCGCGCGATACTTTTGAATTACTTTTTATTATTTCATATGGCTTTAAATCTCGTAACGCGCGCGTAATTCTTAATGCCATTACCGTCCGCGAGGAATCGCTGTTAATTTCGACATAAGCGATAAATACGCTTTGTGCGGGACCGTTTCATTACGCCCGATGCGCAAAGCAAGGGGGGGCGCGTACAGCCGGTTAAAAAATTTACACTGCAACCGTAACGAACGGACGTTACGAGAATGCGCTTTCCTGCAGGAACCGCGGCAATCCGCGACGGCTATTCCATTGCCGACGCTGCAGGACCGAATGCGCGATGGAATTGCAGCATCATTCTCTTTGATCCACGACACAGTGTCCAGGTTCTCTCGTAGAATGGCTGCTGAAATGAAGCGTTACAATTACGTGACTCCCGTGAATTTTATCGAACTGGTGCTTGGCTATAAAGAGTAAGAATCGAACGCGTACGCTCCGGCCATCGAGAGAGAGAGAGAGAGAGAAACGCTTCGATTCAATTTAAGTCCGTATGAGATAATTAAGACCCGTTTACATAGATCGCAACACATAAAACACAGTTCATAGACACGAATGCAAAATGACGTTCCACCGCAGTAAGAGGCATGCATTCATAAATCGGATATGCGTGCGAATTAAGAAGGTTCAAGCATTAATGGCCGTATTCCAGTGGTGCACCAAGCCTCTCATAAATTTCCCATTTATCAAGCAAAATTTCTTACTTATGCATTTATTTTACTAACCAAATAATAAATGTTAATTTGAAACAAAATTTGAGATAAATATATATATGCAATGTTACAAATATGAAAATATCATTATTTTTTATTTTTCTTATTAACGCTATATTTATGCATCGGTTGATCTAATAGAAATGCTCAGATAACAAAATAAGTATTTAAGTGTTTAAATATATGGTTATACGTATATATATTTTGGATATTACTAAAATTTATAAACTTTTCATCATATTTTTAAAACGAAATGGCCAATAATTCGGAAATTTGCCTATTATATATATTAGTTCTTAATATTATAATAGTTTTTCAAACTTCCATCTTACACACAAATATGTCAAATTATAGAAATATGAGGCGTTTTATGAGGTTTTTCTATGTTTGTACGCGTATAAATTTATAATTAAATATCTCGGAAGCGATACGGTAAAGATGACTGAAATTACCGTTACGCATTGTTATTTTGATTAAATTTTATATCATATATATATTAAAATACATACATATTGCATATACATGCATATTAATCTTATATTTGGTCAAACGCTAGAATCTCCTTAAACAAGTGCAATCAACTCCAACTTGCTGCGTTACAGCAACGTTGCGTTGGCAAATCAGAGAAAAGCAAAGGATAGCTGTCACTTTTCTGCTGCCGTTTGCCGAACTGTGTTTTGCGTGTTGCGAGTTACACAGATAGGCCTTTACACGTGTGACGATTCGCGTAGCGCGTTCTCGCCGCGATTCTCTCGATTAATCCGCAATCGAGTCGCGCCCCCTCCATGTATCGCCATTCGAATCACGCAGGATGTTGGCGGAGAAGAGGCAAGATTTAGCAGATCAAGCGAACAAACTTCGCGGCGGTCTCTTGAAGATCGACGACACCCGGGTGAAAGTAAAAGAAATGGCGGCGGAGCTCGAAGTCACTCAGCAGCAAGTTCATAAATCTACGCGAGAGTGCGAAGAATTCCTCGTAACGATAGGTACACGGCGCGCACGCGACAGTGATGTATTATCGGCGGCATTTATCAGATTAATCTATAAGGACTTATTGCTTTAAAGCTCGCGCCGGTTCTAACTCCCTTGTTGCGCGCGTAATAATTAATCACACGGTATTCGATTGTGAGAGCACCGCTCGTGCCCACGAATACACACACACACATTGCATTCACTGCGCTCTCTGTGCTTACAATGCGCAGCAAGTCAACGCAGCGACGCTGATGAAGCGCAGAAGGTGATCACCTTCAAGTCGCATCGTATCGCCGAAGAGCAGAAGGAATGCAAGGCGCTCGAGGAGCTCGCGCGAGCTGACCTGGCGACCGTCGAACCCGCATTGAACGAGGCTATCAAGGTCATGATTATGCAATCGCTTCTTATGGACGTCGCCCGCTTTCAAGCGACGTTAAAATTTGCCGAGCGCGCTGTTCGCTTTAATTCTTCTGGCTTTGTGCATTTTTATCGAAATTTCACCGTTATATGTAATTTAGAGTTTGACGATCTCTACCGCTATTAAAAAAACAGTTTGCGCGATAAATATGAAATATCGAAATAACAACATAGCTTGGGATTACAAGCGATTAAAAATAAAAGGATTTCGCTCGCGCGCTCGAAATTTCCGTTGCCGGCGAAATTCCGTGTTGAAAAATCCGAGTCGGACGAGAGCGAGGAAATAGAACGAAGGATACTTCCGGGCGTCGCACCGGATGTAACGGTCTTAACGGTCTTAAAATCTATTTTTCTTTTTTTTTTCTTTTGAAGACTGCTAACGAGAAAAAGAAGCGTGCGTAAGAAGTAAAAGTATAGTGGACGATACGTAAGCGAACGATTTTAGGCGCTGGAGACTTTGAACAAAAAGGACTTGGCTGAAATAAAATCCTTCGCCCATCCGCCGTCGAAGGTTGAGATGGTAATGGAAGCCGTGATGATCCTGAAGAACTCGGAACCGACATGGGCGGAAGCGAAACGCCAACTTGGCGACATAAACTTCATTAATACGGTGAGCGACAATGGCTGCGACTGGCGCACAAGTCCATTCTGCGCGTCCCACGAACTAACTCACCCTGATTTGATTTCTAGCTGCGAGACTTCGACAAAGATCATATATCGGACCGAGTTCTGCGAACAATAGCCAAGTACACGTCCGATCCCGAATTCGATCCGGCAAAGGTCGGCCTGGTGTCTGTTGCAGCTAAGTCACTTTGCATGTGGGTGATAGCCATGGAAAACTACGGCAAGCTGTACAGGTGACTCATCCAATTAGAACGAGCCTCGAAAAAAGCGGTATAAATCTACGATTGAAATATATTCGCTGTTTTACACATTTTATTAAAAAGCTTTTCTCCGTATATATTGTCTCCGGAGGTTCAAAGTTCCTTCCACTTTTTAATTGCAAGTTCCAAGTTCTCTGTACTCTGAAGCGCGGCAATCGCAATTATTTAATTAATCGATCGCACCGGCCGACTCGTGTCTCTCCGGGCGCGCGTTCGCGGATGAAAAGCCGGTCATAATTTCGCGACACGTCTCAGGATCGTGGCACCGAAACGGGAAAAACTGCAGGCCGCCTTGGAGTCGCTGAGGCAGAAGGAAGCGGCCTTAGAGGAGGCGATGCAGCAGCTGAAGAACTTACACGAGGAGCTGGAGAGATTACAGCAGATGTACGACGCGAAGATGAAAGAAAAGGAGGATTTGATTAGGCTGGCGAGTACACTCGTGTTTCTTGCGCTTTGGAGCCCCGGAAATGGCCTCGTATAGAGAGAAGCCGAGAAAGGAAACGGTCCGGCTAAAGGAAGTCGGCCCGGTCCAATTCGACCGCGCGCCCGCCAATGGCACTTACATAAACTTATGTCTTAGTAACTACGGCATCTCCCGCGTTCGCTCGGTTTCCATGAGCGGGCTGTATCCCTTCAAGGGAATTCCGCCATTCGTACTGATGCGGAACGAAAGTTACGCAGTAGTATTCCGCCCGAGTCGATCCGAGGGAGAGTTACCGCCGACGAAACAGTGCGCGGGTCTCGCCCAATTCTCGATATTTGCGATAATAACGGCTGCTTCGGCGCAACCGCGGTGACGGGAACATTCGCGCGAACACGCGCAAACTCTTTCGACATCGATCGAGGATTCGGAGAAATATGATTTAATACTTGAACGAACGTGTGCCCTGATTTTCTCTCCTCCTCTGTCTCCTCCTTCTTCCTCCTGTCTTCGGTGACGTATCAAAGTGGCACGCCTTGCTTATTTGCCTTGGTGTATTTGCTGAAACGCTTATCTGATTTGCGCGGCTTTTTTTTCGTGAAGGCTGAGCTGTTGAAGCTCAAGCTGGAGCGTGCGGGAATGCTGGTGGACGGTCTCGCCGAAGAACGAATCCGATGGCAGAACACAGTGGCGTCGTTAACCGAGTCCTTCGATCAGTTGCCGGGTGACTGCTTGATATCCACCGGGTTCGTGTCGTACCTGGGCCCGTTTGTGCCTAATTATAGGCAGGAGCTAATGAGTATGTGGTCGAAGGAGGTGAGTTCGCTTGCGAGACTGTTTATCACAATTTCCTATCATCGATCTGCGAATGCCGCATCGCGTTCGCAACCTAATGAACTGTTACATTCCCATCACGTCTGCAACGAGAGCAATTACACGGTAAAAAATGTTGCGTTAAATTTAACACACCTCGCATGACCCAAACGGTTCACACAAATTTTTGTGTAATTCAATACAAGGTGATTATGCTGAAAAGTAACAAAATATTATGTAAAAAATTAACAAAATTAATACCCATAATATGTTAATCGACATTGAAGTTAAATATGTTACTTTAACATTTATACATGTTGAACTTAACATAAAATATTGAGGTAACATAAACACAATATGCTAGATTAACATATGCGGATATGTTAAAAATTTAACACCAAATTTGTAACAAAGACCGATCTTAGCACAAGTACAAGATGTTTTTACTGCGTAGTTACGACGAAACGGAGAACTGACTTTGGTTGCACTTTCGTACTTTTGTTCTGAGATATAAAGGCAATTGATTTCTCTAAAAATTGTTTATTATAAGTATTTATACGGCGAGAACAATTGATGTGTACGTACAATTTCGTCGAACGGTAAAGGTGCTGGCTAGAGAGATACCGATGTCGCCAAACTTAGATGTGAAGGAGTTCCTGGTTGATCCGCCAACAATCAGGGAATGGAACATTCAAGGATTACCGTCCGATGGGTTTAGTACAGAGAATGGCATCATAGTGACGCGAGCATCGCGTTGGCCCCTCGTAATCGATCCGCAAAGTCAGGCGGTGAAGTGGATCAAAAATATGGAGGCGAAAAACGTAATTGTTCGGTATATTAGTATCCGCAGTGATAATGTTTATCGAAGAAACTAATTTCCTCGTGGCGACCTCGTCGCGATATTGGATTCAAATGGAAATTACGCCGACTAATGCGAGACAAAGAGGTTTTAATCGGTAAAATCGGAGAGTTTACTTTGTCGTTTTAACACAACGATTAAAATCGCAGTCGCTGAAGGTAATCGACTTTGGCCGAGCGGACTTTATAAGGGTTCTGGAACAAGCAATTCAGTACGGAAAACCAGTACTGCTCGAAAATATCGGGGAAACTCTTGATCCGGTCTTAAATCCGATTCTGCAAAAAGCTTTCGTTAAAGCAGGTAAAACTTAACGTGCATTTCGTACAGTTACATCCCCGCGACTGTATTACATTCGCGTGAAAATCGCAGATTTCCTCAATATTGTTCATTTTAAGCATTATTAAAAGTAACAAATGATAAAAAAAGAAGCACCGACTTCTTTAGTATTAATACAAGTAGTAAAATATTAATAATGTTGACAAACGTTATATTTCGCACGACAATCGTTAATATTGTTTCGCTTTAAAGTGATCAAATAATTACGAAACGAAAAGAATACTTGCTCGCGAAACATTGCGCTTCGCTTAATCTCATTTACAATTTTTATGAATCTACGTCTCTCCGACGGCGACACGTGCCGCAGGCGACCAGATAATGATGAAATTTAACGACAAGTTGATCACTTACAATGACCAATTCCGGCTGTTTATGACCACGAAACTTTCGAACCCCCACTACGCTCCGGAGATATGTACTAAAACGACATTATGCAACTTTGCCATTAAGGAGGAAGGTAACTAATTGTCTTACCAACGCTCGAGAGAGAAAGATAGAACAAGATTAGAGAACATAACTCGGTCCCGAATGCAGGACTTGAAGCGCAACTCCTAGGTATCGTGGTCAGGAAAGAGAAGCCGCAGCTCGAAGAACAAAAGGATAATCTTGTCCTTACGATCGCGTCCGACAAACGAAAACTCAAGGAACTGGAGGACAAGATACTTTAGTAAGATCCACGAATTATAATTTCGACTTATAACTTCAAATTAAAATTTCGACTTATAACTTCAAATTAAAATTTCGTACTTTCAAGCACACCAATCCGTTTCGTTCCGTGTATGCAATCATCAAATGTGCAGTTATTAATCTCGAACGTCGTTTGTCGACAATTAGCTAACGTAATTGTAAAATACGTAAAATTGAGAAGAGTACGCTTCTACCTTCGTTAGCTTGCTCAGCGTGGCAGGAGGAGCTTTCCTGGACGATCCGGACTTGCTGAATACTCTGCAAACATCAAAAGCCACATCTATCTCTATCCAAGAATCTCTGGTCGTTACCGAACAGACGGAAAGGGAGATAGATCTAGCGAGAGAGGAATACCGACCATGCTCGAGGCGCGCCTCGATCCTTTTCTTCGTCCTGAATGACATGAGCGCTATCGATCCCATGTATCAGTTCTCCCTTGACGCTTACAACGCGCTGTTTATGCTGTCCATCGACAAGAGCCCCAAAAGACTAAAGTTACACGACAGAATCGACAGCTTGAACGATTATCATACGTACACGGTGTACAGGTGCGATTTTAAGAAACATCAAACAACTGAGAATTTATTAGAGCTTACTAAAATTTGTTCTTGTCACCATTTTTTTCTTTCGTCAATCCACGTCGACGGACTTCGCAATTAAGAGTCACACGAATACATCATTTTATTTTATCGAGCGACTTTTATGCGCTGTTGATTTAGCCAGAAAAACTGCTAACACAAATATAACTTGTCCCTTCTTCCCATTCGCCTGAGGACAGATTATATTTGTGTTAGCGATTTTTTCGATGCGGGAATTCTTCTCTCCACGTGTAATTTCTCGACGATGTTCGCAAAACGATGTTTCCCAAAGAACGTTGAGCCTGAGAATAAACTGAACGGAGATGGAAACGCCGTTATAATCTCTCTACCTTGCGGATACTCGGAGAGATATAGAAGAAAAATGTATAGTCCTAAAGGGAAATTGATCCGACGGATTTTATTTTTGCGGATAGGAACACGTGCCGGGGTCTGTTCGAGCAGCACAAGCTACTCTTCTCTTTCCACATGTGTGTGAAGATATTGGATGCGCAGGGTAAGATCATCCCAGGAGAATACGCGTTTCTGCTCCGCGGCGGAATCGTGCTGGACCGGGAAAATCAGCCGGACAAACCCGTGCCGTGGCTGCCGGATGAAACTTGGGACAACGTCACGGAACTCGACAAGCTACCCGGATTTCACGGAGTCGTTTCTTCTTTCGAGCAGTTCCCGCGAGATTGGTACAATTGGTACGTACTACGTCATGTCGTTATTTCGACACTTCGGCATCTTTTAACAGATCTTCCCCGCGATGTTTCTTCTAGTTTGACCTTGTGTTTAATTGAGCCTGCTTGTAATTGCGCTACAGTAAGGAAACGATATACCTTTCAAATACAGATTTAAATCGAACTTCGTGTAATTTTATCGTTATTTCATAATTATTCATTGAATATTAATAACGATGAAATCATCATATCGGGAAGAAAAGTCCGATATTCGCGATCGTTTATATTTGAATGTTTAAATACATTCAGGACATATCGTCTGTCAGAAAAATTTTAGGCCAATACGTTTCTATGCGACGGTAACACCCCGCCTACCTTCTTATCAGTCACCGTAACATTCAGGTACATCAGCACAGAGCCGGAAGCTATATCGCTAGTCGGCGAATGGGAGGAAGGGTGCACCGAGTTCCAGAAAATGTTATTCATTCGCAGCTGTCGACCTGACAGAATATCTTTCTGCATCACAAGCTACATCGCGCGCAATCTCAGTCAAAAATTCGTAGAACCTCCTGTACTTGACCTAAAAGCAGCGCTGGATGATTCCGTCGCGCAGACACCATTGATATTCGTGCTTTCCCCGGGCGTGGATCCCACTAGCGCGCTTACGCAATTAGCCGATAGTGAGGACATGACCAGTCAGTTCGTGACATTGTCACTGGGTCAAGGGCAAGCGCCCATCGCCACAAGGTTAATTGCAGAGAGCTCATACAATCAAATGGTATAACTATCTCGAGTCTGAAAACGTGTGTGTAAAAATCAAGAGCGACAACATCTCGTTTTTCACTCTCGTCGATTCTGTCGCGAGGAGAATTCAAACGTCACAGTTCCAATGCTAAATAATAATTATCATCAGATTATTCCTATCGATTCTCTCATGTAATTTTACACTCCTCGCGCAGTATGATAGAAGTCGGCGCCAAAGAAGGAACCTGGGTATTTCTCGCGAATTGCCACCTCTCGCTCAGTTGGATGCCCGAGCTGGATAAGATCGTGGAGACGCTTGGTTCCAGACAAACTTTACACCCGAAATTTAGGTATCCTAGAGAAACACGAAATACATATGCGCTATCTCTCTTGTATTATTCACAACACTTTATATTTCACACTCGACACACGTCGAGACGACACGACGACCTAGATACTATCAGAAATTCCGAGATATTTTCAATTTATCAGAATAACAAGATTGATCAAATCAGTTAGGAGGAAATATAAGTTACAAAGGATCCAAATTTTTAAAAATGTTTATGAATAGGATTGAATATACCGGGATGGCTTTTAATATCTCAAAAATAAGCGTTCAATTTTTTCGTAGACTGTGGCTTAGTTCGAGTCCGACTCCTCAGTTCCCCATATCGATCCTCCAAGCCGGGATAAAGATGACTACCGAGCCACCGAAAGGATTAAAAGCCAACATGAAGCGCCTTTACAGCTTAATCACCGAAACGCGATTCGACATGTGCCAAGAAAAGTCGAAATATAAAAAGCTGCTGTTCACGCTGATCTTCTTCCATTCTATTCTCCTAGAACGGAAGAAGTTCCAACAGCTGGGTTGGAACGTTGTCTACAGCTTTAACGACTCTGATTTCGAGGTATCTCCGGCAAACAAAAATCGCGCGCGGCATACGTTGCAAGAGAAGCGTTTCTGTTTTTTTTTTTGCCAATTCACGATTTATTTTACATGAGACGATCGCCCTCACGAGCTAACGTTACTCGTAAACGTATAAATTTAGCTTTGTCAAAGCGATTGTCCGATGATGAAGAAGAGCACGAATGTCGGCGCGATGATAGGATATATGTTTCAGGTTTCCGAGAATCTGCTGCAAGTTTACCTGGATGAATATCCAGTCACACCATGGGAATCCATGAAATATCTCATAGCAGGTGTTTGCTACGGTGGTCACGTGACCGACGACTGGGATCGTCGGTTGTTGATGACATATGTCCAGCAATATTTCACGGAAGAGGTCCTGACTACTCCCCATTATCGTTTGTCATCACTGCCCACCTATTACGTGCCTCGCGACGGTTCCTTAGAGTTCTACCGTGACTTTATCGCAATTCTGCCGAACGTGGACAAACCGGAAGCGTTTGGTCAGCATCCAAACGCGGACATCACTTGTCTGATAATGGAAGCTAGGGGTATGTTCGAAACTTTGATGAGTCTTCAGGTACAAACGGTCAGCGTCGAGAAGGACGAGAACAAAGAGGATAAGGTGAGCAAATTAAATTATGAAATTTAATATATTTTTTGTGAAATTTCAAGCACTTCTGCCGTTCGATAAATCGAGTGAAATAACAAAGTATGAAAAGATAAAACTGTGAAAGAGATTTTCTTTCATTCTTTCTCTTCTTCTCTCTGTCCTTGTCTTATTGAATTTAATGCAATCGTGAGAAGTCTCACTCACTCACTCACTTTCTCTCTCTTTCCTTCTTTCTCTCTCTCTATATATGCCTAAATATTGCGTTTTAAACCAAGTCATTCGGTTCTCCATGTATTTATGTATATTTTCCGCATTTATTTATTTAAAGAATTTTTTATTTATGTATTTTTTATTTATATCATTTGTCTATATAGTTACGAATTATTATATAAACCTAAGTAAAGAATTATGTATTACTTATGATTAGGACGTTTGAGGAGTTTTATCCCAGAGCGCAGAATAAATAATGCTTTGTATGTCTGTTTACGTCTCTCTCTCTCTCTCTCTCCCTCTCTCTCACACATACACGTACACATATACTCATTCACTCTCTCTCGCATTATTGACTACCTTCGATTATGGCGTCTTCATTAATTCCTCCTATCTTGCAATCAACACGTATGGTTCAACCGACGAATCCACGTCTCACAGGTGACGCAGCTCGCAAGCGATATTCTCGCTATGATGCCGCGAACGATCGATTACGAGGCGACCGAGAGGCTGATAGGACCGAAAAAGACGCCTCTAGATGTGGTGCTTCTTCAAGAGATAGGGCGGTACAATGCGCTGTTGACAAAAACCCGCGACGGCCTCGAGGAACTTCAGCGTAGCATCACGGGGCTGGTGCTGATGTCACCGGACCTCGAAGAAATCTTCGTGTGCATATACGAGGGCAGAGTGCCGTCTCTATGGCTGACCGCGTATCCGTCTTTGAAACTGCTGGGCGCTTGGACGAGGGATCTAATCAATCGAGTCGAGCACTTCGCCAATTGGGCTCAAACCACTCATCCGCCGTTGCTCTTCTGGTTAGCTGCGTATACATTTCCGACTGGATTCCTTACTGCGGTACTTCAAACTTCGGCGAGACTGTGGAACGTATCTATCGATTCGTTGTCATGGGAGTTTACTGTCTTCTCAACGGACGAGTCGGCTATAATCGAGCCGCCCATGGTAACTACGAGCGATTAGGCTAATTGCTCGCCGAGCTGCTTGCTTCGGTTCCGACCGCTAATATCGAACACCGTTTCACCGTAAGAAACTTATCCCCCTTGCCAAACTAACGTCGCTCGTTCCGTTGACATACGGAAACATTGCGCTCTCGCGTGAAATGTTCGCACGTTGGGATCGTTTCAGCTTTCGACAATTTTATAAATAATAATTGTGTTTTTTTCTTACGTCTATAAGCAACTTTGGTTTCAGCGAAGTTACAAATTGCGTCGATTATTAATTGTGCGGAAGAAATTTTCTAGAGACTGTGCTCGTGATAGCCCTATGCTCCTTTAACTAACTCGTTTTCCCGACACGAACAAGAAATGAGGAAAAATGATTGATAATAACATCATATCAATATCCTTAACGATCAGCTACGTAGAGACATCGGCGCACAATTATAAATTGCCTCCCTCTGCTTCAGGACGGCGTATATATACGCTCCATTTTTCTGGAGGGTGCTTGCTGGGACAAAGAGAACAGCGTACTCGTCGAGCCCGCACCCATGCAACTTATCTGCGACATGCCGGTGATCCATTTCCGGCCGGTCGAGCAAATTAAAAAGAAAGTCAAAGGTATAGATAATTCTGCAAATGCCACTTTACTGAATTTGAATGTTCTCTGGAATGAAGTGTGTTTCAAGTCATTATATCGGAAGAATCGAGATTTCGGTCACAATGAACGTTCACTTGGCTTTTACAGATATCTACAATTGTCCTTGTTATTATTATCCTCAAAGAAGCGATCAATTGCAGTCCTCATTCGTAGTCGCTGTGGATCTTAAAGCCGGTCCACAGGGTTCGGACTTCTGGGTGAAGCGAGGCACCGCGCTTCTGCTGAGTCTGGCCGTGTAAACTTTTACCATTCTCCCAGTTCATTCTTAGCAATAATATCAATGCGTAATATCGAGGAGATACTGTTTTGAATAGCTTGTCTTCACATTTCTTTAGGCATTCTTGATTTACATTGCAGAAATAATTAATAGATGTAAGGTAACGCCATCGAAGAGATACTGTTTAATGTAGCTTACCCTCCCATTTCTTTGTGCATTCTTTATTTACGTTGCAGAAATAATGAATGCATATAAGGTAACACCAGAAATAGTATTTGTAAAATCTCGTATACACGAAATTAAAAAATCAAAACGAGTTCTCTGACTTCCATGTGTATGTGTGAAACTCCGTTATAACATAAATGAATAATAACAATGAAATATGTACAAGATGAATATAGAGCACCATCTCTCGTGATCGAGTTGCATGATGAGCAGGAAGAATTATAAATTAATAATACATTAGACATATGAGAACTGATAATATATTAAACAGAAATATATTATCTTTCACTGATTCTTTAACAAGAACATGCGATTAATATTTAACAATATGTTATATATGAATACATATTCTGAAAAAAATGTCCTTTGACCTGCTGTCGAACTGTAGTATTTGGAAAATGAAAATCTTTCTGACCTACCGTTGAATGGTGTTACTACCTTGATTCGCCGGTAAGAATGGTGGTGACTCGTAGCATGACGGGTAAATTTCGTTTACCAACTGAAGCACTCAGGAATTTGATATTTGTAGAACTTTAATGCATCATTGGTAGAAAATAATTGTTTACTAATAACATATTTTTTATATATACTACGCAAAAAAAAATGGAAGAATTACTCCTCCAGATTATAAGTAAGTAAAATTTAACAGAATGTAATTTCCATAAAGATGATAATATTGAGACGGTACATAAAACATTTTACAACTTGATTTAATGTTTAATCTTTATATATCTTCTCAAATATTAAGTTTATTTCTTTCTTACGATGCTATACAAATAGAAATCAAGACCCGAAATAAAAAGAAATGTTTGATCAAATTTAGCAAGTTGCATCGCATGAAAAAAATCATATACAAGTTTGAAAGTGCAGACATTTCTCTTTAATCTGCTTACCTAGAGATTTCAGTGTCATTTTTTGGCCGAGTTATTCATTACTGATTCATTGATTGAATTGATTGAATTGATTAAAAAAAAAATAAATAATTAATTAATTATTTATTTATTTATTATACATATATATATATATATATAAAATTAATTATTTATTTATTTTTTAATCAATTAATTTCTCATCGAAGACAGTGGCGGCTCGTAGCTAAAACTTTGGAACTAATAAAAATAAAGAGTCAAAAAATTGTAACGGGTCTAAGGACACTTTAGTCGAGATTCAAACCTTTTTTAGTCGAGACACAAACCAACAAACTAACAGTTTTTTAGCAATACTATTAGATGGAGCTAGATAGCCCATTAGTCTCTAAGGTATTTTCATACTACACCGCTAAATGGCGCCAGGCGGTATGTTGATCAATTTTTGGCGGGTCACGCTATTATTCTAAAATCTCTGCTACGAGTCACCACTGCTGCTTATGAAGAATCCTATTGTACAACTGAAAGATTCAGATATATTTTTATTTTCAAGTGCTATAACATAACGGCAGCTCATATATAAACACATCTTTACTCTATTATAAAACATTGGCGAAATTTAACGGTTTGTAATTCCGGCAAAAATGACGATAAATAATTGAAGTGTTTTGCAGTCTTAACCTTCTAGTTTGTATATATATTATGATTATAACATTTTTTCATGTTTCTTGCGAGGACATCAAAATAAATGACAAATATGTGGCAATCGTTTAATTTTTAACTTCAATTTTTAGTTGAGTTTTCGTATGAGAAATATTTTTATATGAAATATGAAAAATGCATTTTAAAAAGAGAATTTTAAACTTTCTATTTATTTATTGACGAATTTCGTACATTAATTTGTATATCTTCTGTGAATTAGAATATATTAGTACTAGAATGTATCAAATTCTATTAAATGGCATTAAGTTGTATTATTGTTATTCATAATTCGTCAATACTTGACATGTAGTTATATAAATCTCTCATTATTCGTCAATCTGTATTAATTTTATGATAGAATATTGATCATTTTTGGATCAAATGTTACGAAAAGATAAACTCACCAATTTTGTGGACTTGTGTCATGAACACATAATAAACGGAAAGGTTGCACGGAACTCGTGAATTTATTTATCGCATTTTTCTTAAAGATAAAGGTATCAAAATAAAAAAGAAACAATTAAACATATTAGTTATAAGTATATTCGTTATATTATAAGTGGGGAGAATGATGAATGAAAGATAACAACAATTGCGTATCGCTATACGAGAGAAAGCATAACTGAAAAGTGTACTTTCAGATATTGTGATTTATGTAAAGTCGTACGTCGGAGATAAAAGCAGCGATGTATAACACCACCGTCAAATCCGCCAATTTATCGCAGTATATACGCGGGAAAGAGCAATTGATCGCGGACTCGGTCCATCGCGATAAAATCGGTTTCGGGGAGCTTCCGTATTTACAATCAGTACATAAGGATCGAAGATGGATGATTTCAGGCTAGAAGGAAAGAAATAGGGACGGACGAGATAAGATTAAAGGTCACCAGTTTTGTGACGGATCGCAAGCGGTAAGTCGCTCTCACAACTCTGACCCTCTGTGTACCGCGCAATTATTTCTTATTCTCGGCGTAATGACGTTCAACGAAGATGCCGGAGCATTCAGAGGTCTCTCCCACCAGCCAGGGGTTAATAGTACGAACATCACTTCTTCTTTCTCGTCTCAGGTGCCGGTACGTCTCTGCGATGTCTCTCATTTGTCCACTTCTCCTCTCTCTGATATTACTGACATAAAACTGCTCGGGTGGTTCAAATTAGATTACCGTCTTGCCACGACTTAGGTCCGTCGTATAAATTCGCGCTTGATAACGCGCTTCGGGCTGCCATTATCCTCGCGTGATTGCAAATAAATTTTTTACAGAATCGCACTTCTCATATAACATTACAATTTACGTATTTATCGTGCCATCCTGACGAATTTGATCGATAAACTCGAGAAGCGGATTCCGAATTTCCGCAAAGTTCTCATGTCGCGAATTCAATTGGACGAAACTTGTAAACGCGAACACGAGAGACTGCCGAGCGGCAAAATCGGGCAATTCAGGCGGCCGCGACGACTCGAGAAGCGGAGGAAAACTTTTTTACATTTGATTTTGCGACAGTTAGAAATGAATATCTTCGTTAAATGAATTTTTATTGCGTTGTGCACTTTGCGTCGGATGCTGTCCGGAGCAGAAGAATAATAGAGGAAGGCGGATGAGTAATAGTCGGATAACTACCTGGACAGCCGCGGAAAATATTTTTCGGTCGGAGGTCTGGCGCTCGCGATTTCGCGACGATGAAGGATTACAAGGTATCGTAATGAAAAATATTTTCTGCATTACGATCTTGAGTGCTCGTTATTTTATGATTATATGTTCAACAATTTATACTAGGGGTAGTAGTAGAGATTACGGTAAAAAAGTTTTAATGTCCATACATACATATATACATTCCCAGCAATTAATCAATAGTATCAATTAATCATTTAAGAACCGCGATAATCAATCAATCATGCGCATTGCTCATTTCTATTTCCCCATTTGAACACTGCGGATTCCAAAACCCGCAGTGTCTGGAGGTCTCGCTGGTATTAACGCGGCACTGTCTGTGACAAGGAATTATCTATTCTCGCCGTATGGCAAATTACCAAACACTCCGTATATACCGAAGCGTCGCAACGAAACTATAGGGATACTTCAATTACAACGAAGCCACGATATATATTAATGCGTAGATATCACCGTCCACCAGCCGTATTAACGTATTCGATTCGATTCTGTTATTCTAGAATTCGAATATTTCGCGATATCTTATGTTATCCGCACGATCATGAAGAAAGAAATTGTTCGCGAAACGGTGTGATGGAAGAAAGTGAAAATAAATCAAACGAAAAGTATATATGTATGTGAAGAGAACAAAGAAAAGAGATGCCGATATTTCCAAATTATTCTCCAGGAGAATTATGTACTTTAACATGCTTGTCGATAATTTTACCTGATACTGTCTTTCAGATATCGCCAACGTCGGAAACCGGGCAACGATGCTGAGAAGTACTCGGTGCCGAAATCGAAGTATCGATACTTCGACGCCGTAGTGGGACAAGGATCATTAGGCACCTCTAGACGGCAGGATCCCTGGTAGCGCCGAGCCTGGCCTCTGGTGGGGGATCGAGGTGGACGACAGGCCAATGAAGTGCGCGAAATGCGCGGCGCGGATGCGCGGACGAGCGGAGCGACGGAGCAGCTTCAGAGTGAGCGTGGACGTCCGCCGTGGAGGTGCAGCGCCCGGTATTCTCGCTCGGCATTTTTCGGCATATTTTCATTTTGCGCTTCGGCATCGCGCGGGCATCGTTCGCGGGACGATCGCCACGCTCGCACGCGCGAGTGTCTCGGGTCGCAGCGCCTCCGTCCCGGTCGGTCCAGCGACACAGCGATATCCGTTCGCTGGTCCATACCGACACTTGAGGGGGACACAACGCCGGAGCGGTGTCCATCTACCCTGAGGAGACGATACACGGCGCGCAATCTCAATTCCGATCGAGGATCCCGAGTGACGCCGAAGAGGAGAAAGAGAGGGAGGAAGAAGAGGGAAGAGAGAGGCCTCGCGGCTAACTTCACGCGATACTCGGTTCAAATCAGTTCGACGCGTAACGGAACGGTGGTATGCCCGGTGGTGGAAATTGTGAGGACGGAGTGTGTGTCGCTTCGCGTGCGAGGAGCCCGTAACAGCGTGTGTTACGACGACGACGTGATCGCGCGCGTATATGTGGTAAGTCGCGTTTGACCTGTTCGCCCCGTTGTTGACGGTGCTCGGCTCGCGAAGTCGCGGAATGTAAATAAACCGCGCG